CTCCGTTGCGGGTGTCCATGGGCGGCGCTGATTGCTTACCATCAGGTAATCCGTCTGCTCGTTTGCCGGTCTATAACATAAAAAAATGTCAGTGATTGTTTAACACTCTTAGAAAGTTCATATCACTCTAAAAAAGTGACAATAGCACTTAACATAAAATTTAAACCCATCACATCCAGTACCAAAACAACAATTAGGATCATATGTTCCGTACGGGAATTGAACCCGCTTCACGTTGGGCAGCAACAGATACCAAGCTACTGTACCAGCTATGCAGATTTCACTTTATTATACATTGAGAATTGAAATGGCATACCAACTGCATTAAACTGTCTATAATACAGACTTCATTTAATTTATCGTTTCAATCATTCATTCATGTAAAGAGTACAACCGTTCATATTCCATGAATATTTTCCTGAATAATTTATTTCAGCAATAAGGTCACAAGTATTCCTAAGAGATACTAGATTGACTGCTGTTACTGGTCTTTATGAATGTAAAAATGTGAGGATTTAATTCGCGTTTTATAAAAAAAACATATAAAAAAAGGTAAAAAGTAGCCTATGTGCGGATGCCATAAAAAACACATAGGCTACTTTTTACCTTGGTTGGTCAGCAAACGAGCAGTCAGATTACCTGATGGTACGCAATCAGAGACGATGGACCTAATGGGCAACGCCGGTAGATTCAAGAAGTGCGTCGCCGGGTTTTTGATAATTAGGATCTTGGAGATTAAGGGATTCGGGAGGTATTCGAGGAGGGAGAGAAGGGTTAGGCATAATGAGAGAGCAATACTTTTTTTAAAATAATATTAGTAAAATTGTAAAAGATACATATTGATTTTAAAAAGAGTAACGATGGAGTTTCTTGCTCGTTCTTCTCTATTCGAATATACAATTTGGAATGAGCACCTAGCTTCACTGACGAACAGACTGACAGACTACTTTTCTATTTTGACGTTTCAAAAGTACCTATTTATGGTTTAGTAGGAATAAATGATTTTGACTTTGACCTTGAAAAGTCCTTTTTATCAGAGGGTTTTTATGGATATAGAGCCTAAGCACTAAAAATCTGACACTCCCTCTCGCCTCATGCTAGACGAGATGTCATAATAATTATGATTTTTATTCCTAAAGACTCATACGTCGCATACATTGCAAGGTCAAGCAAAACTTGTATCAAACTAAAGTGAAAAAAAAAATTAATGTTCTGCCGTGTAAACGTAATCATCATCATCATCATCATCATCAGCCTGTTGTCGTCCACTGCTGGACATAGGCCTCCCCAATTGCACGCCACTGAGCTCGATGTTCAGCTCTTCTCATCCAAACACTGCCAGCCACCCTGCGGATGTCGTCAGTCCACCTAGCTGGAGGGCGCCCTACACTACGTTTGCCTAGACGTGGTCTCCACTCTAGAACACGTTTACTCCAGCGTGTAAACGTAATATAATTATCGATATTGCAGTAAACGGCAGTAAAACTTTTGGCCTTCAACAAGGAAAAGTGTGTTAAACTTTAACACACTTTTACAGTTAAAGAATTGTTAAACGTCACATTTACCTGTTACTTTAGAAAAAAAATCATTTAACGAATCGTACCTACATACCTAACCTTTTTAGTTAAAAGGGAAAGAAATAAAATGGTAATCTGTCACTGTCCGCTATCAGGTGGCAGAAAAACTTTTAAAGAATACATATTCCTTTACAATTTATCATTTTTATTCTTAAATTTTACTTGGACTGTGATTTTGTTTTTATGTCATTTTTAAATTTGCTATTTTTGTTTAATATGACGGCTAACGAGCAGGGCCTCGAGTCTGCTATTACAATAGTGTCAGAATAGTAGATCATTGGTTTCAAAATTGTTGATTTTGACAAGTTTGGTAATCTACTAACACGATATCGTCATTATGACTTTCCAATGCCACTTCATTGAAATAATTCTTTAGAACGGTACTCTCGTACTTGTGACAAATGAATATTTGACATAATGCGGTAAATTAATAAAAAAATGTCAGTTCCTTTATTCAATGATTTACGTTTAGAATATTAATGTGCAGTTATTTTTTATAATTCGTTACAAGACATCTCGTACTATAATTCTATTACGACATCGCCGAACGCCAATGATCAGCCATTTTAAATTAACAGATTACGAACTTTTAGCAAAATGACAATGGAATCGTGTAGGAATCACAACACTTTGAAAATAGTAGACTTGGGACCCAGGTGTATTACCTGCATAGGTACGGTATGGCTAACGAACAGGAACTACACCTGCTCGCTAGCCGTACCGTACCTATGATGGTAAGCAATTGGCGCCACCCATGGAGACCACAACACCAGAGGAGTGACGAGAGAATTGCCTGCCTATTGGGAATCAGGAAACCCGTTGTTCGTTTGCCGATCTATCACATAGAAAAATAAAGATTTTCTAATGTTTACATATAAATTTAAATAAAACAAAGACATTACGACTCTCGTTAAATGAATTGTTAATCAAAATATTTTGGATAAAATAAAAAAAAACAGTTTGAAAAATACAGTTATATTTAGAAAAAAAAATATATTTACAAAAAAATTACGATGAAAATAATCACAGTAAGAGTATTTACAATAATATAAGTGGTATATTAATTGTAAAAAAAACCTATAATAAGTTATATGAAGTGTAAATTATAAATTAATTAAACTTATAACAAGTAAAAAAATAACCTATGTTTTCACAAAAATCGTATGTTCATAACGATATTTAAAAAAAATAATAAAAATACAATACATTTTATAGTTCGGATATATAAAAAAAAATATTAAGTACAGATAACATATTTTAAAAAAACTTATTTTAAATAAACAAAAAAACACTTCTTTACGTTAAAAAAATAAAAAATCTAGGCACATATTAATCACCTGTTTAGTGATAATTAATAAAAAAAAAAACTTACAGTAAAAAATAAAAAAGCAATATAAAAATTACTATGACTAAAATTTAAATTTAATTCTAGAACAAGAAATTATTGTTTTAAATTCGTGGAAGAGAGAGGATTTGGCGCTGACGAAGCATTGAGGAAATATATTAAAAACAATTATCTTATGAAGGTTAAACTAACTTGTAATAATTTTACTAGTCCCCATATTTTGAAGACCACTTACAAAGTTGCCATTTAAAAAGAAACTTTGTACGCAACAGAATATGATAATAAAATTGAATGAGGTTATCAATTTGATCTAACTCAATGCACACAATTTGCACTTTAAGATAATAATAATAAAGTGCCAATTCAATCTTACGAAGGCCTTAAGTTTTCTAGTTTAAGCTGGAACAAGGGAAAATCGCGAAGCTATGTTTTAAAAATTGACGACGAATATTTTTTACTTTCTATACAAAATCAAATATTATGGGAATTCTATTATATTTATGTAGATGCATATCATGGAAAAGGCTTGTCTAGCAGTGGATCACTGTAACTTGGTGATGATTATTATACCATTAATGGAATAGAATAAAGTCTAATTGCTTAAACAAAAAAAAAACAAAATTTACAAAACATTGTTTTAAAAATCTCATTGAACCAAATCAGCTGAGCACAGAAACTAAACGATCCTATCTAACTTCAGCAATTTAACTTAGATTTAAGCAAACTAACATCGAAAATAGAATTCCTATTTTAATCCAAAATTATTAGCAAACAAATACTATATAGTCGTTACTTTTGCCAATTGATAAGCAGTTCCATAGATTAAGGGTTATTCAGAAGCTATTATGTTTCGTATTATTGATAATTAACTTGACCCAGCTTCGCAAGGATGGAATATCGATACTAAATTTCTCCACTATTTAATGGATGCTACAATACATCCATTAAATAATGGGTGATAGTGGGAAAGGTAAGACGTAGGTACAGCGAAGGTTTCAAAAGTACCTATTTATGGTTTAGTTGGAATTTTTGACTTTTGACTTTTGAATCTACCTCTTAAATACCGTCATCAAAATCCGTTGCGTCATTTTAAGGATTTAAGTACACATAAGGATATAGAGAGACCCACATGATGGACACAAAAACAGTGAAACATAATATAACAAACATGTCTTATATAACACAATTATATTAGTTAAGACATGAAAAATTATTTAATACTTATTTATAAAGAAATTAATTCATACTTCATAAGACAAAAATATGAGAATTCAAACGAAAATTTTCATAAATTTGCGCTCATGTTAACTTTCTAGCCAGTTGGAACCATTATTGTCGAATTTTATATTTCAAAAATTCTTAAATGCCGTTTTATTGTGAAAAAATCTACTATAAAAATGAAAAAAAAAATGGTGTTTGGTTTCGTAAAAAAAGAAAATATAAATACTTGACCTATTTTATGTGTGTTGATATGAGAAAAAACTGCCATTGACTTGATTAATAAACCATAATAAAAAAAATATGTGGCCGTCATTTCAATTAATATACCATTCAGACACGAGATTATTACTCAATTAGGGATGACCTCAGATGAGATATTAATTAACAATTGCTAAAAGAAGGAATCTACAGAAAAATATTGTATTCGATTATTTTTACAGGATGGAAGATGAGCGATCAGCGCCATTTTTGGACATTCGCAACACTGGTTACAACTGTGTTACCTAGCCTATTAAAATAATGCACACACAATAAAGAAAACGGCAAACAGAAAACGAAAGAAGGCATAATCTAGTCATTCAAAACTAATATCTTAATTGGTAACCAATCAAGATTAAACATTAATAATTGAGCTATTTATAAAATAACACTTAATGCTACACACTACATTGTGCAGGTGGTAATTGGCAGTAATACAAGGTGCTAATCACGAGACCACGGCTAAATTCAATAAACAATATCAATACAAATTTTTAAACCGAGGTCTTTGTCTTGATCTCTACTAAGCTTTTGACAAGAACAAAGAAGATTAAGATTGCTTATTGATTTTCGCCTTTGGTCTTCTAGAAGACCATGGTCTATCCATAATACTGTGGCCCATGGTACATTTGGTCCGTTCTTCTGTCAATTAGGACCAAATTTGCAGTTTTGGGCGGATAACCGTGATGATAGATCCATTTCTTGCCCCCGTCTTTTCCATCTTTTGCAAAATGGGCACTGGCTTGTTTAGAATGCGTGTCGTGACCGGCTGCAGACTTGTGTCCCTGTAACAGAAAGAATTTCATCTTAGAATGATCACTGATTTTCTTTAATTATGAGTTTGTAGGATAATCAACAAATTCATTTAAGTGTGGAAGAGTCGAGCTTCGGCAAGAAGGGGTCGGCTCGATCGGAGTGATACTATGGCCTCACAGGCGTGGAACCGTGTTTTGCCGTGTGATTGAGGTAAACAGAGGCCCAATCCCTCCCCTCCCCCAAACCTTAAATATCCGAAACGCCGTCAACGCACTCGTAACTCCTTTTGCGCGGCATCAATTGCTTACCATCAGGTAATGAGTCAGGTCGTTAACCGACCTATTTAAAAAAAGGTCTTATGAGAGCATAAGAGGTCGGTTGACTAATTTGGGCTCATACAATTTTAATGGTGGAAAATCCTTATGTACTTGAAACTGTCCCAGTGCCTCATCTCATCCCTAATGTAGGCGTCAGAGTGTAAGAATCTATTTGACCACGATGACACTACAGTATAATGTGTTTTTTTTTTGTGTTAGGTTTTAAAGTTTTTAGTGTGTAGTGATTAAGAAGTCACTATTGCCAAGTGACACGATTCATTATGATCAATTTTATTGACATATTGTAAAAATTACCTTGGACACGTGCAAATGACCTCCCTTCGCGAATTGACCGGAGTCCCCCTTTTTGTGCTCCTCGTGGCCCGCCTTGTAGTTGGAGTTCTTGAAATGCCCGCCCTGAGAAATTGACAAATTGTATTAAGAATATAATTATTATAGACTGATATAATAACACACCCCAGGATTGACGGATAGCAACAGCCAGGGGATCTAAAAGTCATCCGCTGTGATCCTCAATTCGCTTGCCAAATGTGGGTATTATGGCAACCTGCTTCATAATAGGCATCTGAATAACAATTCAGACAGTTTTTCTAGTCATGACAATGAAGAAAAAAATTGCCTTTAAAACTTTCTTAATAGTTTCTAATGTGGTTCTTAAGGATATTGTTGCTATAGTGAATGTCAGTGTTTTGATTGTTACTATCCCTATTTGAACTAAGATTATAGCCACAAACTGTTTTTCTTGTACTTGAGTATAACTTAAATACACATTTTTCCTACATTTTGTACCAACAAATTCAATCTAAGTACCTCAACAGCATGGTGAGTTTTAAAAACACGAGAGCGGTTGTGACATTTCTATTAGAAGACAAACAGAGTTACGAAACTTGTTTTAACTTGTCATATTATAATACTGATGTGGTTCGCTTTAGATTTCTGAAACATGTTCCCCATTAAACTGTTGAGTTGTTAAGGAAATCAAGAAGAATAAATAAATAAATAAACTGAAAGATATAAGTAATTACTGTAGATAATGTATGAGGTTGTGTGAGATTTTTAAACTTATCTCCCTCCTTCCTTCTTCCATCCTAAATTTCCAAATCTCATATCCTCAAAATTCTAATAACCCTTAAAAAGACAGCAACGTAACTTTGCCAGCGGCCCATGGACACCATCAAAAGTGATGTCGAAAGCTTATCATCGAGTGATAAGGGTCCACGTTTGGCCATCGTGTAATAAAGCTACAAGTATGCATATTTGTATTCGGTTTCTCATTTCACAAAATTACAGGGTCTTATACCACCGCGGCTTCACACTAGTGCCCTAGTGCGATCAGCTCTTTTTGGTAAACAATCATCAAATCATACAGTTAGGTTCCTGCTGACTAAAATCCCCTTACAGCTTAAATACGAATTGTGCAGTTCCAAGATGGCTGCCGTATCCACCCACGCTGCCCATAAACTACATTTAATAATTCCCAGTACAATAACTACGTAGGAAATGTAAGTTACATTTAAGTAAGTTAAGTTAGATTATATTAAGTAACTTCCCTTGCTTAACCTAAGCTTGCAACATGCAGTTAACTTTACGACTTAGTAATTAAAACCCATGTTTTGTCCATATAACTAATTACAGTTTATGTTTTAAGTTCATTAAGTTGGAACTAAGTTAACATTGTCTTACTCGTTAATGGTTTAAGTATCAAGTTAAGTCGTTTAAGAATTTTATTTAATGAGATAAAGTTTATTAAAAGAAAAAGTTATAAGAAAAATTGTTTTAGTTTTTTTAATAATTATATCAAAATACCATTCCTATTATTTACTAAAGGGGTAAACATGGGATCTATGGTGTTAACTGTTGATATTCTCATCGAAAAATAACTATTTCTGTATTATATGTTAATTGTGGATCCCTCGTACGGCTCGAAACTAGTCAAGTCACTCCGTCAAATAATCACGTGAGCAAACCGTAAAACATAAGTTAGCCTCAACTATTTCATATACATACTTCACCCTTCTATTCTTTATTTACACACTCTCATACCCACCCACACACCCACACACACACACATCTTTGTCTGATTTTGTTTTCATAAATTGCCATTTAAGGGTTGTCTGGATGAAATCGCCTTGTCTGATAAGATCACCCATTGTGATCACAACATTCTTTATTGTAACTACCATATAGCTGTTTTTTGTTGTATTAGTGCTTATGACACAAGTACCAATGTAACTTTACCCGAGTTATATGTACTTCCTAAGCTAATTTAGATACCACTGGCATACTGTGTAATGTGGTCATATGATATCTAATTATTAGTTTGAAATCGCTAATCCGCCTTGAGCAAGCGTGGTGATAAATGTTCAAACTCAAAATCTTCGTGTGAGAATAGGCTTTTGTTTATAACGTTGTGTTTCGCCGTGTGAGTGGGGTTGCCGCAGGCCCATACTTCCCTAATCCCAAATCCCTAATTCCAAAACCCTAATCCTCTAAAGTTCTGTCTGTTGCGGGTGTCCATGGGTGGCGCTGATTGCTTACCATCAGATAATCCGTTTACCGAACTATCACATAAACCTAACATAAAAGGGTCAATAGTCGTTCTTGCAACTGCTACAAAACGAAGCAATACTATAAAATAATCAATAAATGAAACGTGACCAATAATTATTTACGATTGATGCAAATTATTTGTAAAAGGTCAAACGTTGCATCAATCAAGAGACAAAAAGCGATGAATAAATTATAATAATTCTATGCTCTCACTTTCATCAACCGGAACATCGAACCTTGGACATTCAGGTCACTTAAAACCCAATACACGACCTTGAATTGTCACGACGAACTTTACAAAATAAATATTAAAAAGATCCTAGATCTAGATAGAAATTAGTATATTCTAGACTGACTTTTGAAATTACTGTTTGCAATCTAGACACGATCAGTCTGATCCAGTTCCAGTCAATGCATGATTTCCGTTACAGGCCACTGGTTACACTGAAATTCAGCTGTCTCAGTTAATAATGATGACACATTGATTTCAAAAAGGATGTGATTGCAAATTGAAACGAAATTCGAAGCAAGATTTTAGGATTGATTTCGAAGTTGAGAAAAAACATTGAATTTCATAATTCTTTGTTAATTACTATGAAGAATCGTGTATTATTATTTTTAAGTATTACTATTACATTTACAATATTTTGAAGGATAGATATTAGTATAGATATACAATAATATATATCTTTACTAATATTATAACAAGGAGAGATTTGCTTGTTTATTTGTTTGAATGGAATAGGCTCTGAAACTACTAGTCCATGTCCAGTTTGGAAAAAATATTTTACAACATAATTATGGTATAAATCACGCGAGTGAAATCGCTGAGCATAGATAACGTACAATACTTTGCCAAAAAGCCATTAAACCTTCTTATTCGGTATTCATATAGGCGACCACTCGAAGTTAGGGTATTTTTATTAAAAATAAAACACTGCACACATATACAAACATAATTTTTCATACAACTCACACAAGGAGTTGTTTCATGGGGGAATCGAATACGTTACCATGGTAACCGATTACCCAGACGCGGTCTATGATTTCTAAGAATTTCTTCATGCACGATTCTGTTTGTTATTTGTTCAATCAAATGTTTGGAATGCGTAGGTTTTATATGTAATCTGCTGTTACCGTTTCCTATTACAAGGTGTTTGGCGATAACCCCTTTGTAAGCCCACCCGCTAGAAAAAAATATTTATAACGAATCGTGCTTGGTTTTGTAAAAAACTTTTGGCAGGTTTTTATCCTCATTGGGGAACAAATCAACTTTGGGGTTAAAAAATTGCCCCCTTAAAGGATTCATTGAAACAAATACTTAGATTTGGATTTTGACTTTCCATTTACTGCTCGGGCTATTACATGTTCCTATTCATACCAGCAGTTTCTAAGATAAGCGCGTTCAAACAAACAAATAAACTCTTCACATCACACATAATTAGCAATCTATTCGTTTTCTGTACTGATCAAAGACCTCTTCTTACACGGAAAGGTTTAAGTATTAATATACACGCTTGCTCAAGACGGATTGGCGATTTCATACCCTTAAATAGAAGTTCAGATGATCAGATTAGTCGTTTGACGTCTTAAAATACGTTTTCTGACGATGTTTTCCTTGACCTTATGGGTCGGTGGTGTATAAAGTGGACTTAGAAGTTACATATAACCCAAGAAAAGTCACATTGGTACTTATCAATTGAGAAGTTTCTCAACAATGGCACAATTAACTCCTAGGCTTTATGAAAAAAGTTGAAGAACGAAAATTGTTTTAAACAAAAAGAAAATGGAAGCGGACTAGTTTTGGTTAGTTCATAATTATTGATACATAATCTTAGGCCGGTCTAAGGGAACTCGGTAATAGGGTATAGGGTACAATCCTCATCATATTTCTAAGGGTGAAGGGGAGAAATTTATGATATTGGATATAATGGATAGCAATGATCAAAATAATATTGATTTGCCCGACTAAAACACTAAGCTGACATTTCTTGAGAAGTAATTAAAATTGTATGTAACATATAGCCATAAGTTTACTAGATTCTGTCTGATCAAAACTACCCCAAGTGTCATTTCAGGCTTATTATAATTTGTCTCTTTACCAAATTTCACTGAAATCTGTTGTACAGTTTTCCGTGTAAAAATAACAAACAATACTTCTATCTTTACAATTTTTTTTTAAAGCGATCAAGTCCTTTACTCGTTATATGTATGATGCTGTAAATAAAGAAAAAAATATAATACCTTACCCCCATCAGAAAAAGACAGAAGTCCAGCCATCTTTTCTTTCTTTTCTATGAATGCCTATTTCTTTTTTTTTTTTAATAATACTCATCTTATACAAAATAATTAATAGCAATATCGAACTTTTATAACTACCTATTCTTTATTCAAAATTTCGAATTCTGAATTTGACAGATATTGAATATAACTAAAGTAAAACTAAAAATCAATTATAAATCATTATCAGTTTAGGTAGAAAATCGGCATGAATTCGGTGGTTAACGAATTAACATTTAAATAAATCGTTAGCTCATTAGAAAAGAGTCCAATCTCAAAAAGAAGGTATTTGAATCTAAAAAATATGCTTCAATAATAAGGTTCAATTTTGTATTACCTTATTTTATGAGTTAGTACTATTTTCAATGAAAGTGCGAAATATTAATTAATTTTGTCGATCATAGTTCGTGATTTCGTCGTGCACTTTCAATAAGAAGCCAAATTGTAATCCCGAAACTATTAGCACACCTTAATTTACAATTTAACAAGGAAACCTAATTAAGTAATTATACACTTAATATTCTGTTAATTAAAGCTTAAAATTAATATGTCACTAGCGTTATAACAACATGTAGGTGCCCAAGTACTATCGGCAAACTTTGTTGGTGTTCGGCTGATGTTTAGGTTTGAGGTGTAGGTATTTTTTTCTGTTTTTTAGATGATTCGCTTTTACATAAATCTTTATAATTGTGAATAAAAAATTGGAAGGAGGTTATAAAAATTATAATAACACTTTGTACTTTGAACCCGCATTTCAAATCCAGAATCCTATTTCAGATTCTAAAGTACAAAAGTAGAAACTTTAAGAATCAAATGTTTTATAATCTATAAAAGTCGATAAAGTTGCATACTAGTTCTTTAGTATGTATAATCATTACCATGACCGCTTTAACACTTAATGATAAAATTGTAATCAAAAAGACAACTTCACAAACAATGCCTACTTTCACGGCAAGCGCAACTTTTACCGATTGTACTAAGAGCAGCATTTTCGTAAACATACTGTGATACCACGTGATATTTTAATATTTATGATTTTAATATCCAATTGTTATGTTCTACGTAAAAGATTTACATAAGCATATTATATATTATGTTATAATGCAGTATTTCAATATTGAAGACATCCAAAGTATGCATTTCTGGAATTAACACTAAGTTTTTTTGTAAAACAACGGCTCAGAATTTCAGCTCAAAAAAAAATCAATGTTTAATAAAGTATGTCCGGCTTCGATACTCGAGAGTGACAAACGAAATTTGCTGTTATATTCTTAATAATAAAACTTACCTTTGAATGGCCATGTTCTTCGTTGAAGCCGCCATGTTTCTCCTCCTCGGCGGAGTCACCTTCTTCTTCGAAAAATTCCACCTTTTTCTCGTACTCTTCTTTTTTGTGGATGTCGTGGCTGCCTTTCGTGCTGTGCCCTTTCGAATGTTTCCCCGATTCTTCGTACTAAAATATGATTTGAATAAAATAAAGACAAAATAAATATCTGTTGCTTAATATACCCAGAAACTAAATAATTTACATACCTACTTAAAAAATAAAGGAAAAAAAAAATAACGTAAATGTTTTTTTTCTATGCCAGCATTCCCGCGAACGTTTATAAAATACATATTAATTGACTTTCAACCTTAACAATTGCTATTAAAGTTTGAAAATCGATGAAAGAATTTTACAGATTATGGTAGCTTAACGAATATATTTTTTAAATTAATTCAAATATCGTTCGAAATGTCAGTTGCAAACACAAAGACACTCATTTAAAAAATTTCGTTGTTCGTTTTACAATTCGAAAAGGTTAAAATTAATTTAAATATTTAATGTTACCTTTTTTACGACTACAACGTGGTAAATAAGTTTTTTTATACTGGCAATGTACAAGTTGTTCAAACATCTATTTTAAGCTCGGTGGGAAGATAAAAATATTTCAAAAGGAAAGAAAATGCGGTCTTGTCACTTCTATAGTAAGTCTGCGCCTGAATAGCGCTGACGTCACTTTTAGTAGGTACTCAACCTTTTTTTAAATAAGTAGGTACTAGAACTTTTTCTCACCATTACAAACTTTCTGGCTTATTGTTAAATATCAAGATGGCAATCATAGAAAATAATACATTATTTAACTCGTTAACTGGAATTTCGAAACTTATTTCTTGAATAGACTTAAAATTATATAGACTGGCACATTTTATAGAATACTTTTTTTAGAAAAATATAAATGTATTCATTGGGTTACTGGGAATCGATTAAAGATATTAGAACCGAATTTGGAAATTACTCAAGAGAAAAAAACTTAAACAGTGTTAAATACCGTGATACAAAGACTAATTCAGATACTAAATCTGAATTTTAATTTGTGGCAAATACCTGAATGTAAGCAACACAAAAATATTACATATAAAATATCCTCTTCAATCACCCTATAAAACAACGCGTCAAAATCCGTTGCCTAGTTTAAGGATATATCTTCATCATCATATATCATACATACTATATAGGGATATAGAGACGGAGAACGTTTTTGTTTTATTATACCGCAGCTTCGTCCGCGTGGTATGTTGATAAAAATTACCCTATGTCCTAATCCGGAGTGTATCCTATGCCTGTGCCAAATTTCATCCAGATCCATTCCGCCGTTTTGGCGTGATTGAGTAACAAACATCCAAACAGAGTAACTTATTGAGTAACAAACATCCAAACATCCAAACATAGTAACTTTCGCATTAATAATATTAGTAAAATAAGATATGATAGTGATTATCTGAACAGTTAAAACACTTTTCCATAACAAATACCGACCTTCGCGTGCTTTTTGCCATGTTCCTCATGGTGGTGGTCTCCGTAATGCCCTGATTCCTCCTCGTGGTGTTTTTTGATACCTCCGTGGTCGTCATACTTTCCCAAGTGATTCTCCCTGTCATGATATCCTTTCGCTGACTTTGTTTCTTTGTGGAAACCCTGTAATAATAAAAGTGGATTAGAATTTTGAAAGGATTCAGTTTTACTTGTGTATTTGTTTCTACATTTTTCGTCAGTTCATCAAATCGCCATTAGCCTATAAGTGCACACTGCTTACCAAAGGCATCTTCTCGTACGGAGAATGTTTGAGCACTAATCACCACCTTTGCTCAAGGCAGGATGGTAATTTGAAACTTATAATCAGGAATTATAAGTTTAGATTTTCTCACTATGGTTTCCTTCACCGTTTGTAAGTGGTGTGCAAATACATATAACTAGAAAAAGTCTCATTGATACTTGGCAGGTTTCGAAACCGCACCCTCATGCATAAGAAGTTAGACCCTTAACTTTCGGGCCACGAGTTACGCCAGTTATTATTCTTTTAATGACTCTTTGATTGAGCGAATGAACAATTTCTAGAAATATAAATCCTACAGTACTTTTTGGCAGACCTGGGTATTAATGCATAGATTAAATGTCTTGTATACCTAATACTTTTTTATTGAATTGGTCGGCAAATGATTAGACGGATTACCTGATGGTAAGTTATCGGCGCTGCCTTAAGACACTCGCAATACCAAAGGAGTTATTACAAGTGCTTTGCCGGGTTATTGTGTATCTGAGTAAGGGGGATTTGAGGATTGGGGATAGGGCGAAGGATTGTAGCTTAATACGGTACCTAAATAATTGTAGGTTATACCAACACTTCGACAAATTATGCTATTTGTATGCTTTTGATATTAAAACTGAATGAAAAAATTAACACAATATTAATTAAATGTAGGCACAGACACATAAATATACAAACATAATTAGACATTTTGAAATGAATAATATATAAGTTGCAACATTCTCTTAAAACAATTGTGCCACTTGCGATGTTTAAGAAACACAAATGCAATTTTAGGTGCAACATATAAGTGAAAATTGTTTATAACAATATTGTCTATAATTTAAGTCGTGCGTAAATAATCACTGACTAAAAGCACTTAGCTTCACTGAACAACAGTTGACTGAGAGGAAGTACCCCTCTGTGGTTCGAAACTAGTAGAGCTTTTCTCAATTATTTGATGTTTTCGGCTTACTCACGTAATAATTTGACTACTTGAAACTAGTCGAGTATCTCGTCAAATTATTACGTGAGTAAGCCGAAAACATAATAAATAATTTAGAATGTCTCACGAAAGTTTTAATAAAAAAAAGAGAGCTTTTCTCAATTACAAATGTGAGTAACCCGCGATTTTTAGTTAATTTAGTATATTTCATGATAGTTATTATAAAACAGACTGATGGTCAAAAGTACCAGCACGTCGATTCTATAAAATTTCTTTGATGTTAAATCTTGTTCGAATGTGAAGTAAGCGTCACAGTGACATTTTAGAATGCCACTTTTAACGTCATATCATACTTTATCTATCAAAATGTTGCGGTCTATTTCGTTCAACTCGCAAGTGTAGCGCTAATATACTAATTCTCACAGCGGATTCAGATTCGAAGTTTAAAATGAAGTCTTACAGAATCACACTGCTGTATATGATTTAGTTTGATTTAATATTTTTTGACTTCATTCTATGGGATAGGCCTCGTTTATAACATAGCATTACATTACTTATAATGTTTTTGTCTGTCCAGACGATGGTACGATCCGATGCTGCAATGCATGGCAAACGTATGCCGCACTGTGTCCTAATAAATAAGGCCTAAGAGTCATATAAATATATCGAACTATGTGATTACAGAGCTTGAGCATTTTTTGGAAAAACCGCTAAAACTCTAACAGAGATTTTTCAAACTCGGGAATTAGACTTGAGAGATTGCTCAACAGTCACACAACCAATGAGACAGTTTATTCAAACAATTTTTTTTTTTGTAAAAAAATCTATTGTTTTACCATTTCAAATTAATAGAATTTTCTCTTCTTAATAATATTTTAATTGACAGCTACAATCGAACACCGTTAGCGATTCTTTTCAAAATTAATCAATCATTTGTTTTTTGACAGTCAACAGAAAAGTAAAAGGGTTCAATGTTTTTATTAGAAAAATTCTGTAATGAAATTTGCGTTAACAAACTTAAAATTTCACATACACATCACACCCAGACCCGGAACCACAATTTGTGGATCACATATTGTTCAGTGGTTTCGTACCGGAATCGAAATCGCGTTGCACGGCAGCCAGTTGCCTTAGCCACAGCGCCAATCTCGTCAACCACCAGAAAAGGCCCAGGGCCGATACAAATAAATAAAAACTGGGTTTCTTTATTTGTTTATAAAAGCGACTACTATTGTTATTAAGATGTCCCATACATTATTTCGTGAGAAAATATTTTAGTATCAATAATGTTTTGAGATTACGTTCCAACTGTTGAATGAACTACACTTGTGAAAAACTGTGCCACTACAAACAAAACAAATGGAATGAAATGACGTCACAAGACTTAACGCATGCTAGCATTTCATTTATTTCTGTCATATGAGCAGACGGATTACCTGATGGTGAGCAATCAGCGCCACCCATAGACAGATCGGGCAAGGGGAAGGATTGTTGTTCTTCTTCTTCTGCTAACTTCAATCACACAAATAAGCCTTGTTTATGCACAATGACACCTCATCATCACATTATGCCAGCAGCCTTTAAGTGCCCACTGCTTAACAAAGGCCTCTTCGCACACGGAGAATATTTCTGCATTAATTTCCACGATTGCTCAAGGCGCATTAGCATTGTCAAACTCATAATTAGAAATTATAATATAAGTCCAGGTTTCCTCACGATGTTTACCTTCACCGTATGTCAGTGGTGTCTGAATAATCATAGAAAGTACATATAACTCGGAAAAAGTCACATTGGTACTTGCCAGGTTTCGAACCCACATCCACGTACTTTTCCTTCATCGTGTATCAATGGTGTCTAATTAAACTTTGACAGAACATATGGCTCGGAAAAAGTCATATTGGTACCCCCGAGCTGCCACAGCGTCATCAACGTTACTATATGTTTATACTTCTTTGTAATATAATCCAGAAGATTGTAATCCGTTTTAATAATGAGCATTACTCTTGACTCATTTCTATTATTGATTTCATCATCATATACATAGCTCAACCGTCTAAAAACTTTGACTATTACTCATAGTTTTATAAAAACAAATGCATACAATGCTTATATTGAATCATTTGGGCCTGGAACAATTAACCAAAAACACTATTACTATACATCATTATAACTATAGTGCGTACTCTGTTTTGAAAACATATGTATTTTTAGAACTAAATTCAAAACATTAATTGACAATAGACTCTACTCATAACAAATTAAGGTCTTGTTTGATAACAACACCTTTGAATGCAAACGAGTTTGTCATAGTGTATCGTATTCTAAATATGGTATTCTACTTTAGTATCTATGTAAGTACGGTAGAAGGTTGAATTTTGTGTATCAACAAACTAAGTATATTGTCTAAGTATATGTACCTATGTACATATATAACGAAATCCGATCGAAACACAAATTGTTTGGATGCGATGGGCATGTGAAAGTAAGTTTGTAAACGCACTCACGATAGAGGAAAAAATCCTAGCGTGGGAAGTTTTATTTCCACGATAACTGATATTGAACCTTATTGAAGAAAGATTAGAAAGGAAAATAAATTACTAAGAAACTGTGTCAGAAACTACATATAACTAAAACGTGAAATTTTAATAAAGACTCAAGTTATTATCGATACACAAATATGTTAACAATGTATAATTAATTATACATTAATATTGCTGTAGTTAGAACAATACCATTTAACACAAAACTTACGTCCATATAAATATAGTACCAGGGCTTTGGTTTCTGCGCTTTCCATTTGGAATGAAATAGCTTTTTCCTTTCAGTCCAAGTCTTCACCTTGGGACGGATTCAAAAATGTTTACAAAATCGATTACCCAAATTTTTTTAGGCTGTTCATGAAGTTAAGAGATTATTTTGGCCGTCCTTTTTTTAGAGGATAGATGGTTACTGAACCATCTGTATCACTTGATGAAAACGTCACAATTTTCATTTTCAGTATTATTTGGTTATAGCTCTTATGCTGTCTTCTCTAATAACTACAAGACTTCTCTAATAATTACAAGAAAAACAAAACATTTTTTCTCTATTAAGGTCATAAAATTTACTTTTTAGAATTGCCATGACAATAACTGGTATTACCAATTACCGAAGTTATTACTAACCAGTAAGTAGCTAATTATTTGGTTTTGATATCACCTCTCGCAAACATTTTAAGTATAAAATTTAAATACGTAAAGCAAATTGGCTCATTTTCACCACAAGCGCCCTCTACAATCCCTATCGCTTCTCAAAACGACAACTACTACGTTGTTTTGGTGGATGGAGATATTGTTTTTTTTTTCTAGTAAAGCATCGTGATAAAACTATAGTATGATGACTAGTCTGTCATATGCTAAATGTATATTGAAGTATCCTTAAGAAAAATGTAATTGAAAAGGTCAGCTTACCTCATAGGCCTTTTTGCCCTCCTCGCTATGTTCCTCCTCGTGTTCGGAATGGTGTTCCCTGCCACCACCTGCAAAAATATAATTCAGAGATAAGATGTATGGAATTAATTAGGAGTAAAACATTCATAAGATCAACATAGGATCAGAGAAAAAAATTATGCGTCAAAAACTATATAAATGTCGAAAGGGAATAATGGAAAAGAAAATGTATTATGCTGATACTAAGATTCCCATCTATATGTCTGTGTCTTTTTTTTTAATCATATAAACTAGTGCTTGATTGCAATCCTATCTGATGGTAAGTAGTGATGCAATCGTTGATGGTAAGGCGCACTAGTCTTGGGCGTTTGTCACAATATTCAATGTAGGAAGTTCTAGAAATATTTTTAATGAAAAAATGAGGTCAAGTTAAGCATCAAATCGTCTGCTGGTAAACAATCAACGCCACCCAAGGACTCTAACAACCTTGCGATGTGGCATAGATGAAAATATACCTAATCACATTTTTTTTTTCTTCTCCTGAAATAATATCTTCTGCTTTATTTCGTTGCGGGATCCAAGACTGTCATACATGTCCTTGGACTTCAGTGTTCCGGTGTTTTTATTTATTTATTTATTTATCAAAACTTATTCTATCTTTACGGGGTTTTCAGACAGATAAGACCCGTGGATAAGACCTTAAACTCAATAAAAACTAAACTTTATAGTTGTATCTACTGTACACCCTGGCTTACCAGGAGTTGCAGCGGTTTTTGGGGGCTGCAGCAGGTTTTTCCCAATTTAAAAATATACCTAATCACATATTATCTTAATTCTTTTTAAACAACATTTCGGTATACTAAGTAGAAATCAAATCGAAAAACATTCTCTAGCCACGCATCAGCGCGTGCTAATAGATCAATGCGGTAGTGAAACCGCCCACTCAATTTACTTAGAGGATTAAAATAATAAAAAGATAATCCTTTTAAGGATTTAAGTGTTTAAACATTGACAACTAATCCGATTGATTGGACGGCTAATGTTTAATATGACATCATCACATGAAAAACACTATCACGATGACCTAGCTGTTATTTTATTTGCAAAAATAAACTTTAGTGTGTTAACATACAGTCTATTTGTGATTAGCCTTGGTAAACTAAAGTATTTCGTATTTAAAAAATATAATGCTATGCTATAATATGTATGCAAAAATATAACAACTGCTGTAAATTGTTTTATATATTTTATCTTTATTGTCCGGAGGACTAGGGACGAGAAACTAAGAGACGGTTGAAGTGATGGTAAGCATTCGAAGATGGACATCCGCAAGACAAGAGTAGTTGCAAATTTTTTGTTGATTTGAGGAGGTTTGGGCCTCACTTAATGTGACAAAACGGACGCACGGACTTAGATCAAAACACAAACCTAGTTTTGCGCCGGATTTCGGTGAGGCCACGGTAGCTCTCCAGTCAAGTCGACTTATTCGATCCAAAGCATGGCTCTTCCAAACTTAAACATGTTGATTTGATTTGAGTTTTTCTTAGTTAATCTTATTCTATTTGTATATGACAACATTTTCAAGTTTAAAACACCTCTTAATTTTATTTAAAAAATACAGACATGCAGCGGTGAAAGAAATATTGTAAGAACACCTGAACTTATCTAATGTGATAAACGCTACTGTTTGTTTGTTTTGCAACAGAGCACTGTATAGTATGATTATTGGGACTCCATTTTCTTAAGCTTCAAAGTCATTCTTTCCCCTTAAATAAAACAGCTGAAGCTGCGTTATCTATATCTTGTTACGTGTGTGGAGTTATATAGAGGATGTTGTTCGTATGTTGGCAGAATGTGACAGATTTAAGTCTGTTAGAGATACTTTTTATGCTAAGCACCAGTTAAATAAATTTGATGTAGGTATTTTTAATAATGCATTGTCTAAACCTTATTCTAAAACCGCCCTTGATTTATTTAGAATAGTTAAATTACGTTTTTATAAGTCAACTACCTCTTACCCGCGTCGTCGCTCCCAGCATTTGACTACCTACCCTTCTCTACCTACCCTACTTTACATACCCTACTCTACCTACCGTACTCTACCTACTCTACTCTACCTACCCTACTCTACCTATTCTACTCTACCTACCCTACTCTACCTACCCTACTCTACGTACCCTACTCTACCTACCCTACTCTACCTACCCTACTCTACCAACCCTACTCTACCTATCCTACTCTACCTACCCTACTCTACCTACCCTACTCTACCTACCCCACTCTACCTACCCTATGTCCTTCTCCTGGCTCTAAACTACCTCCCTGCTAATTTTCAGCTAAATCGGTTCAGTCGTTCTTGAGTTATAAGTGGAGTGACTAACACGACTTTCTTTTATATATATAGATTTAATAGGTTTAAGAAAATTATAAGATACGATGGGCCTGACATGTACTTGGTATAAAAGTCTAAAAAAAAGAAAGAAAAAAAAAACTAGTTAAAATATTATTCGTTTTAAACTGCTATTCAGACTTTAACAAGCATGACGATTGAAGGTATACAAATTGTAACACTAAGAGAAATATTCAGTGTCAACATAACATTAAATGATGTCAGTCAAATAAATATTATGCTATGTTAAACATAAGCTTGTATTTACAATGTCAAAGGCACTGCCACTTCCACTTTAGCTCTTCATATATATGTCACAAAGTGATGTGATAGAAAAGTAAGTTATATAAAGTTGGGAGGTATGACAACACGTGTACCTATATATTTAGAAGCAGCTAAATTGATATATAAGTATGTAGTCTTTCGTTTAGTTTTTAATATTGGATTTAAAGATATCCTTAAATTCTTATCAACGGCCTACAATGCACCTCAACTCCTCTGGTGTTGCGGGTGTCTATGGACGATGCCTGTTGAACTGAAATTTACTAGCAACATATCGTTTGAATTTGAAAAAACCCCTTTTATAAAGTTGGGCTCTCTAAATTTTTAAATAAAATCAACTTAAAAAGATCGTGTACATTTTCGACAAATTTACAAAATATTTTTGTAATGGTATGAACAACAAACCAGCAGACGGATCACCGGATGGATGGGTGGACGCCCATGGATGCCTGCAACACCAGAGAAGTCACAGGTGCATTGCCGGCCTTTTAAAAAGGCGTACGTGCGATTCAAATACAAAAAAAAACTACCAATACAACGCCATTATCGAACCGAAAACCGATCAATAATCGAAAATCATCCAATATCTTCTCCCGCGACTAAAAAGCACCCCATTCGTTCTCCTGTTTTCGATACATCAATGCACTCTCTGCAATATCAAAGCATTTAACACCAATTTCAATGACATCCCAAATAAGAACATTTGCCACAAATTGGAATATCGTAAACATTCAACAATATAAAGATATATCTTCCTATTTAGTCGACATTACAATTTACATCAATCAGAAAAATCTTCCTTAACATTTTAAACTTAAAAACGTTAACTTAAATCGTTGAAAATCTCCTAGGAAATAAGAATTTAAGTTCAGATAAGGGATTGTAGTGAAATGTCAGTAACTTTATGACGTGAGAAATAAATTAAATGTACAACGGACGGGGTGACAGGACCACCTCGACGCAATCCAATTGCTGTGTGGCGCCTAACTGATGTCAAGGAGAAACAGAAGGCACATCTTTATTTACTAGCATCTACTTTTATACTACCTATAAGTAGCGACCAGCCCCGGCATCGCATCAATGAAACAATGAAACAATGAATTTATTTTTGCAAATAGGCCATAAAACGGCACTTTTACACGTCAAATTATATGTGAAAAACTAGATGAAGCCGGCATTTCCTATCTGACTACTCTGAGAAGAAATGCCGAAACACATCGCTTGCACCAGTGCTAATATACATGTTTATAATTTCTTTCTCTTCAATCATTCTATCAATTAAAAAAAACAGCATCAAAATTCGTTGCGTAGTTTTAAAGGTTTAAGCATACATAGGGATTAAGGGACAGAGAAAGCGACTTTGTTTTATACTATATAGTAAAGCTAAAGAATTTTTTTGTAATTTATCGTATGGAATACCTAATGGTAAGCAATTTTCGCCGGCCATTTGGACACCAGCAACGGCATTGGCAAGTGCGTTTGCATTTTTGGGTGATAATGGGATTGATAATGGGGGGAGGAGGGTTGGGTCACTGATAACTCTTCACACGTAACACAGTCCAAGCTTTGTTTCACGACGGTTTCCTGTGAGACCGTGGTATCACTCCAGTCGAACTGGCCCATACGTGTAAAATCATGGCTCTCCCACTTCACTTAAAAAGCATAAAACATTAGCAAAATACATACAAGATACGTTGCAAATCGTACTTGTACTACTGTTTTTCTTTCTCTGCATCAAGCGATGAGCATTCAAGAAATTGCCAAGTTTTATCTCAAATAGAAATAGTGAAAACTGGAATTTAATTTTAATCAATTTACATTTTATCGTTGATTAAATAAATAAATGAACGTAGTAGTTGTACAAGAAGTATCGGATTCCCTTTAGCACCGATGTATGTAGATTATATACCTATGTATACACTAATAAAATAATGACTGACTGCACGATTGGCGCGGTGGCTGCCGTGCAACGTGTCGCGGGTTCGATTCCCGCACCGAACAACAGTTCGTGTGATCCACAAATTGTTGTGTCGGGTCTGGGTGTGATGTGCATGTGAAATTGTATGTTTGTAAACGCACCTACGACACAGGAGAAAATCCTAGTGTGGGACAAAGTTTTTTTTTTAAGAAAAAGAATGAAAGAAAATAATGCTTCATCTAGTTTTTTACATATAAATTGACGTGTAAAAGTGCCGTTTTATGGCCTATTTGCAAAAATAAATTCATTGTTTAATTGTTTCAAATTCCAATACACAGCATATATTTCTCTGTAATATAAAACTAAATAGCGAAATGTATTGATAAGCGCATAACTCAAAAACGCCTGGACCAATTTTGCCAATTCTTACTTTGTTGTATTCGTTATTGTCAAGAAAAGGTTCTTATAAAAGAAAATCTTAGACAAGAAGAGGGGTTAAT